AAAAAAAAAAAACCTGGAAAAAAAGTTGAAAATTACGTACCTGCAGCTTAATCGTTCGACTCGGTTAATTACGACTCGGTGGTTCTGTTTATTTGCATTTTACAAGCCGTTCTTGCGAGATTTACGATCCTCTACGAGCACGGCTCTTTTCTCATAAAATATGGTCTCTCGTAAAATATTTCCTCGATGGTCAGAGTATATGTACAAAGTGCCCGTGCAAAATTTGGATTTTATCAGCTTGCGATTGCTCGTGCAATCCACGACAAAAAAGAGGGGAAAAAAGGAAGTCAGGCAATCGAGAGAAGAAAACTTCCTGGCCTTGAAACAGAACGTACGAAAAGATTGTCGAGTGTACAAAGTTCCACAAGTTCGTGAGGATTTCTGACAAAAAGTTTTTCACTTTATTCGGATAAATCTTTCCCCTGTTCTTCACTTTCTTTGAAACTCATTTCGATAAACGAGCAATAACATACATGGTCAGAAAATCGTCGCAGGGATTTGAACATCTCCTGAGCAAATTGACGTATCGTAAATCCACGCACTTTATGGGTTCATTTCTGAATTTTCGAAAGAAATTATCCTGGTCCATCGTTCTCGTTACTCAAGAGAGTTTCTTTCGCGAGATTTTTCATCTTATCGTGTTTCATCTGCAACAACCCTCTCCTCGTCATCATCCCCTTTAAGATCCTTCTCCTCCAGTTTCACTTCGTTTTTTTCCCTTCTTCTTCTTCTTTTTCTTTTTTTTTTTTTAATACAGAAACTGTTACTTTCTCCACTTGGATCTCACTTCTTTTCTTTTTTCAATCACCATCCCATTTTTTTTAGCTTTATTTCGTCTCATTGTGTACTCATCACTTTCGAGATTGTTCTTCTTCAGTCACTTCCGTTCGTAGATTGCCGAGGTTTCGACTCGACCAATGAACCAATGAATCGACACATTGTTCATTCAATCGAGGCAAAAGTTTCAGTTGAGAAATCGCTAAACATCGAGGTGAAGGAAAGTTTGAAATCTCCCTTCTCTTGGCGATGAAAGATTTTTTAAAAGGTTCACGAATCTCGATTTGAACATTGCATTACTTCCTTCTTTTAAAACTTCACTCTCTTGAATGTTGAAAGTTCCATTCGAACTCGTGCGTCAGTTCGACTTTTTTTTGTAAATAAATATTGTTGCAAATAAAT